ATCGCCGTCGCCAACGCGTACAGGCCCGTAAATCTTCCGCACAATCTTTCTCTCAAACACTCCAAGAGCCGCCTCATCGGATGTTGTCATTGTCCATGCTTCTGCGCCATATACCAGCACGGGCATGATGAGTGACTTATAGAGCGTGGTTTTCGTACGTCGAGAGAGGACTTTACTCCTGAATTGCCCACTCAGTCCAAAGTAGCACTTGTTGGCAAGAGTGATTCTGCGTTGGATTTCAATGCTGACATTATTATCGGTGTTAATGCTGGTTCCCAAGTAAACGAAATTCTCTACTTTATCGAAATTGTAACTGTCAACAGTGACGTGGGTGCCAAGGCGCGAATGTGCTGACTGTTTATTTGATGACAGAAGATACTTCGTCTTGTCCTCGTTTACCCCCAGACCCATTCGCTTTGCGTCCCTATCCAACTTGGCAAAGGCAGAACAGACTTCGCGGTTTTTGTTACCGGTGATGTCGATGTCATCGGCATAAGCCAGCAATTGCACGCTCTTGTAGTAAATTGTTCCTGAGCGGTTCAGTTCTGCAGCTCTTATTATCTTCTCCAACATCAGGTTAAAGAAGTCACATGAAAGGGAGTCGCCCTGTCTGAAACCCCGTTTTGTGGCGAACGGCTCGGAGAGGTCTTTCCCAATTCTGACGGAGCTGGTGGTATTGCTCAACGTCATTTTACACAGCCGTATGAGTTTTGTGGGGATGCGAAATTCAGACATAGCGGCGTATAGGCAACTCCTTTTAGTGCTGCCAAAAGTGTCTTTAAAGTCGACAAATAGGTGGTGAGTGTCGATCCTTTTCTCGGGGGTCTTTTCCAAGATTTGGCGTATTGTGAAAACCTGGTCTATGGTGGATTTGCCAGGTCTAAAGCCACACAGATAAGGCCCAATCAGTTCATTGACGGTGGGCTTCAGTCTTTCACACAATACGCTCGATAAGACCTTGTAACCTATGCTTAGAAGGCTGATCCCGCGGTAGTTGGCGCGAATGGCGGGGTCACCTTTCTTGTAGATTGGGCACAGCACACTTAAATTCCAATCGAGGGCATGCGTTTATCGGAACATATTCTGCAAAAGAGTTGCCGTACTTGAATAGCTCGCCGCCGTACTTGAATAGCTCAGCTGGCAGGCTGTCAGCTCCAGCAGCTTTGTTGTTTTTCAGCCGCGTTATTGCTATACGTACCTCGTTATAGTCAGGCGGAGGAACGACGACTCCGTCATCATCGACTGCGGGCTCGGGTTCTCCGTCTCCACAACTTTCCGTGCTGCTACCATTTAGTAGGGCGGAAAAATGTTCCCTCCATAATTTAAGTACGCTCTGGACATCAGTTACTAGGTCGCCATTATTGTTCTTACAGGAGTACGCCCCGGTCTTTAAACCTTGCGTAAGTTGCCTAACTCTCTGGCAAAATTTTCGGGCATTCTTCCTGTCGGCCAGCATTTCAAGCTCTTCG